TGTCGCCCAGGCTGGAGTGCAGGGACATGATCTTGGTTCACTGCAACCTCTGCCTCCGGAATTCAAGTGATTCTCCTGCCTCAGCCTCCTGAGCAGCTGGGACCACAGGCACATGCCACCATGCCCACCTAATTTTTTTTTTTTTTGAGACGGAGTCTCGCTCTGTTGCCCAGGCTGTAGTGCAGTGGCGTGATCTCAGCTCACTGCAAGCTCCGCCTCCCAGGTTCACACCATTCTCCTGCCTCAGCCTCCGAGTAGCTGGGACTACAGGCGCCCGCCACCACGCCCGGCTAATTTTTTGTATTTTTCGTAGAGACAGGGTTTCACCATATTAGCCAGGATGGTCTCGATCTCTTGACCTCGTGATCCACCTGCCTCGGCATCCCAAAGTGTTGGGATTATAGGTGTGAGCCACCGCGCCTGGCCCAATTTTTTTTTTTTAAATGGAGATGGAGTTTCAACATGTTGGCCAGGCTGGTCTTGAACTCCTGACCTCAGGTGATCCGCCCACCTCAGCCCCCCAAAGTGATGGGATTACAAGCATGAGCCACTGTGCCTGGCCAAGAAATACTATTAATATCCCCACTTTCCCGATGAGAAAACTGAGGCCTAGAGAGGAGAAGTAAATTACCAATGGCATATAGTGGTTCTTTCTTAAGTACTAAAAATCTCATTTAATCCTATGGGATAAGAATTATCACTTCTCATTTCAAAATGAAGGAAAGAAGAACCCAGCTCACAAAGAGATCAAGTGCTTGAGGTGGGATTAAACACAGGGTTCTTCTAGTTCCAAAGCCTATGCTTTTCCACCAATAAATGGTCACATCCACAATGCATGGGAATGTAAGCCACAACGCACACACGCACATATTCACACACCCTAGCCTTGAACTTGAACCATATGGAACTGGGTAAAACCACACGCATTGCTGCACCCAGAGCTCCCATCTCATCATTCGTATTATTTTTAACTGAACCCTGAACTGAACAGAAGGGAACAGTGCTCAAATTGAAACTGAACTTGTATATTTTTTCAAGCTGTTGAACTACAATATTTAAATATTCTGGAGACAGAGACAATTACATAGAGAATTCTATGCTAACCCCTTCACTCTGTATATTTTGATTTGCCTAAGGTCATATGGTCATGACAGACCTGAGGGATTCTTAGCCGTTACAAAGCAGTTGTAGGTGATTTTTTCACTACTTCTACCCCTCTTTTACCCTTCCTTTCCCTTCGTGGCCAGGGCAGGGACTTGGAAGTTCCTGTACCCACCAGCTGTGATCCTCTCTACATTCTCTACCTTCCTTCAGAGCCCACATCCTTGTCCACGTTTGCTGAATGAAGAAAGGAGGGAGCGGGCCCTATGAGATGTATATTTCCCATCTTCAAGGACAGGGAGCTCCAGCCCGAACCTGATTCCTCAGGGGCCCCTGAGCAGAAGCTTCATTCCTGGGATGAGAAATTGGAACTTTCCACCAAGGCCAATGATCCTCAGTATTTGAGCAGCCTGGCTGGGGGTCTTGGGATCCAGGTGGCCTTTGTCTCATCTGGACCAGGCCAGCACAGTTTGTGGCCCTCCCCACAGCAAGAGGAGGGACTTGAGGAGGCTTGGGGGCCCCTAGGGAGACATCCATCTTCCCAGAGCTTTATCATTTTTTCCATAACAGTATCCTCCCTTCAAGGTGGAAAGTCCCAGCTGGCAGCTGAGGATGCTGTCAATGTGCTTTTGTTCTCTGTCTTGCCCCTAGCTCAGGCAGCAGGGCTGGAGACAAAGACACCTACCTTTTTATACCAGCCTGTTCCAGGCTTGCTGTACAAACAAATGGTGTAACACAGACCACCCCTTAATGGGGTGAGCTAGACCTCCCTGGTTTGAATTCTGGTTCTGCTACTTGCTAACTGTGCAATCTTGGTGGGGTATTGAACTTCTCTGTGCTACAAGTTTCTCCATATGAAAACTGGGGTGGTGATAGTATGATCAGTTTTCAGGATTTAATGATTAATGTATGAAAAACACTTAGGACAGCACCTGGTATATAGTAAGAGTGATGTAACTGCTTGCTGTTTACTACATGACTTTGGGCTTGGACAACTCATCTTCTTTCTCTGAGTCTCGGTTTCTCTAATTGTACAACTAGGATGGCAATTCCTGCCTGCCTCTCGACCACTGATCTGGCCTTTTCTTGCTGTGTAGCCTTGCAGAGATTCTTGGGTTCTCCTGGCCTCTGTGTCCTCATGTATTAAACAGTACCTATTAAGTAGAGGGTTGTGGTGGTGAGCACGTGAGAAAACGTGTACCCAGCATGTAGCATGGGGCCCAACACTAACACAGAGAGTTAAAACGAAGTTAGTTATTTTTGTTTTGTTTTGTTTTTATGGACGAGAAAGTACTTTTTAAACTATAATAGGCTGAGGGAGAGTGTGGTTTTCTCACATGCTTTCCCAGCCATTCCTTATTTACAGACACCTAGAATCAGAGAGGACAGGATTGGAAGGGCAACTTTACAGGTAATGGATAATGAATTAATGGGTATCTATTAATGGATAATGAATTAATCCATTCAACAAATATTTACTGAGCACCTACTATGAGCCAGGCACTGTTGTAGGTGCTGGGGTCAGAGCAGCACTGAGGGCCCTTCCCTCAAGGAGCTTTCATTCCTGTGGGGCAGACAGACAAAAACATGTGAACACATATGCCAGGCAAAGACTCATAAGCAGGTCTTCACAGTCTCAGAATATCTTACCCATAACATATCCTGGTTTCTGCAAGGCCTTAAGATAGGATAGCAGAGTGGGACCCAGTGGCTCATGCCTGAAATCTCAGCACCTTGGGATGTTGAGGTGGGAGGATCTCTTGAGCTCAGGAATTTGAGACCATCATGGGCAACACAGCAAAACTTTGTCTCCTCTAAAAAAAAAAAAAAAAGAAAAAAGAAAAAATTAGCTGGGCATAATGGCATGTGCCTGTAGTCCCAGCTACTTGGGGGGCTGAGGTGGGAAGATGACTTGAGCCTGGGAGGTGGAGGCTGCAGCGAGCTGTGATTGCACCACTGCATTCCAGCCTGGGCAACAGACAGAGTGAGACCCTGTTTAAAAAAAAAAAAAAAAAAAGATATGCTAGCGGGAGCCCACGTTTATTGAATCTTCTTAGACACAGGAAGTGTCTAAAGCATTTTACACAACTTGAATCATTTAATCCTCACATCGATCCTAAATGAAAGAATTGTCATGAATTCCATTTTATAGATGGAGAAACTAAGGCACAGAGAGATGGAGGGGAGCAAGGTTTGAACACACACCCCCTGGTTCAGGGCAATGTCTTCAATCACCCTGCCCTCTTGCTGTGCTGGCTGCATAACTTTCCTTCCCTCAACACCTCCCACCTCCCTATCTTGATCTGCACCAGTTCTTTCTTCCCTCCCCCTTTCCTCCCCTATCCCGTTCTCAAGTATTTCTTCCACATTCTGAGTGGCCTGGGGTAAGCTCTCTCTCTCTGGCCCTCAGTTTTCCCATCTGAGGCTGGGGGATTGGACTGGATTATCTTCAGGTTCTTCCCTGACTACTCTAATTTTCAGCTCCTTATCAGTTTGTGATTCTTTTATTTGCTGATTTGTTTTCTAGTCTGCCAGCCCACCCTACTGTGAGCTACTGAGTAGTGAGCTCCCTCTTTCTGTTCGCCACATCTCCCCGGAGCCTGGCACTGTGCCCGGCACTTAGTAGGCCCTCAATAAATATTTGTAGATGAAGAAAGGAGGGGATGAGGGCGATCGTACTCAGTTTTCTAAAGCCAGCTCCTGCACTCTCTCCCGCGCCCCTCTTCTTTTCTCAGCTCTTCCCCCTCCCCTCTTCCCTCCCGCCCTCTCACCTCCCAGGGCCCACTCCGGGCCTCCATCCGGCCTGCATTTTTCCGGGTTTGATATCATTTTTTCCACTCTCCCGGCTGCTGCCGGCTGCCTCTGCCAACTTTCCACAGCCAGAGCCCCTCCCCCTGACCGCAGGCCGGAGACAGCTTGGGGTGGGGGAAGACCTTCCTTCTCTTCCCTTCCCCAGGCTGGGGTTGGGGTGTGGGATTGAGTGCCATCCGTCCCCGTTGGAAGGCTGGGGTGCGGGGAGTCGCGGCTGGAGGACGCGGCTGGCTGACTGGCGGGTGCTGCCGTCTTTCTCTGCACCGCTTACCCCGGGACTGGCGTCTGGGCTAGTTGGGGGAAGGGATGTCCGGCGTCAGGGACACGATGGTCATAACGGTTTGCGTCTTGTTTTCTTCTCAAAGCCGTGACACCCCTTCCTTTCGGGCTGGAAACTCCTGACCTGATCCCCAACACCCAGCCCTGACCCCAGCCAGGCTGGATGCCTCACCACCTCCTTCCTCCCGCACAGTCAAAGTGAGACCCAGGAGGAGGCTGGGCCCTGGAGTGTAGTCCTCCCTGGCTGGGCGACTCTGGCATGCTCACCTCCCCTCTCTAGGCTTGTTTCTGCCTTCGGGAAATGAGTGAGTTGGATTAAACTGGGGTCCATCCCGGGGATTAATGGATTGAGTTTCATAGAGTTCCTGCCCCAACCTCGTTTAAATTGGATGTGAAATTACGTTTTTAAATTCATTTTCCCAAGATTCTATAGGGTTTTGTATCATCTTTAAAGAGGACAATGGATATGTTGGTCACTAGAGTCTGACAAGCCTGGGCTGGAATCCTGGCAACTTCGCATATAGCAGCTGTATGATCTTGGGTGAGCCTTCGGTGTCCTGTGCCTCCGTTTACTAATGAGCAAAATGGGGTTAATCGTAACACCCTTCTCCCAGGTGTTGGGAGGATTAATTGTTGCGACAGCTTAGTACACAGCTCCCAACAAACGCCAGCAATTCTATTGCCAGGATGAGTACTGAGGTCCTTCCAGACATGTGAATCTAGAACGTAAAAAATGGGTTAATGAGAAAGTAGCTGGTCACGAAACTGTGGTTGTGATCCACTGTCGGGAGAAGGGCCTGAGCACAAAATTGGTCCAAGTACTTTATTGATTGGCCCTGACACCCAGCCGGCAGGCTAAACCAGTCAGTCTACAGTCAAGTGTAGATGGGAGGGCAGTAGGTGGAGACGCCTGGAAGAGCCGAGACAGAGATGTCTGGGCATTCAGATGGGACATCCTTCTGGTCTGGTTTATTGTGAGGGTTTCTGAGGGTTGGCCAGAGCCCAGGGACAAGGAAGATTTTTTACAAAAAGACACCCACCACGTAAAAAACTACTTTGTGCCCAGCTTGGGGCTTCGGCCCCGTCGTCTGTCTGTTCATCGCTTTCCCGGGGTCCCCCAGGCTTGGATCTGGGGGATGCTCAGGCCATCAGGGCAGCAGGCAAGCAAAACACATGATGCAGACTCCAGGTAACGGCGCCTTTGTCCCGCAGTGGCGTCCGTGGAACCCATAAGGCAACTCAGCGACCCGCCAACTCTCAGAAGGGCGGGAGGCTTCAGAGCACGGCCAGATTGTGGCAGGACTTGGAGCGGGCCTTGAGTGCCCGGCGGCGTGCGCTGCGGGCTGTCAGACGTGCTAGGAAGCGACGAGCGCGCTGGGCTAGGCTGGCCGGCCGTCGGGGTGCTGGGGGTTCCTCGGCCGCACTGTCCCGGCGGCGCAAGCGCAGTTGGCGCACCACGCCCTCGAAGAGCTCAGCCACATTGTGCTGCAGCGTGGCGGAGGTCTCGATGAATTTACAGTCGAACACCACAGCGCAGGCGCGGCCCTCTGAGGGGGCGGGGCCCGGCGAGCAGGGGTGGAGCCATAACCGGAAGGCGGGGAAAAAGGTAGGAAAAGTTGTGTTCAGTCTTGATTGGAAGAAATTTTTCCTGTGCCCATACCTCGTGTTGCTGTCTGGGGACTCAGATAAATCAGACTGGTCTTTGAGGGAAGACAGAGAGGCTGGGGCCAGGGAGGGGTCACGTTGAATGCCAGGTAAAGGGTCTAATTTGCTGTGGATCGGAATTACCTGGAGGAGCTTGTTAAAATGCAGATTCCTGGACCCACCCTCAGAGTTTCTGATTCTGTAGGTCTGGAAATCTGTGCTTTAACAAAATCTCCTGGGGCTTATGTTGCAGTTTTTTTTTTTTTTTTTTGGATGTCTGTTCACAAAGCTTATGGTCTTCCACCTCCAGGATGCCACTGGGCCCGAGTTCTAGTCTTCAGGGGCTGGTGACTGTGAAACTGACTTTTCCTTTCTAGGTCTCAGTTTACATATTTTTTAGATTTTACTTTGTGAGTAAGACCATTTAAAAATTGTTATGGGCCCCATCTGATATGTCAAACTTATTAAAATATTCCCCATCCCATTGTAAATACAATCCATATATGACATTTAAAGTTTTAGTTTGTAGTTGCTTGCTGACAAAATATGTTTTACAGACAATTAAAGCTTTGTGAAATTTAAATTTCTAATTTTTTTCACTATATTTTGGAGCCAGTAATGGTTCTTTTCAGTTCTCAAATGTAAGCCCTTGAAAGGCCTGTAGGCACTGGGCCTATCATCCTGGTGGATAAAGTGTCTCTGATTAAGGGGCTAGGGGAGCCACAGAGGAAATTACTATTATTATTTTTTTGAGACAGAGTCTCATTCTGTCACCCAGGCTGGAGTACAGTGGCGTGGTCTTGGCTCACTGCAACCTCGGCCTCCTGGGTTTAAGCAATTCTCATGCATTAGCTGCCCAAGTAGCTGGGATTACTGGTGTGCACCACTATGCCTGGCTAAGTTTTGTATTTTTAGTAAAGATGGGGTTTCACCATGTTGGCTAGGTTGGTCTTGAACTCCTGACCTCAAGTGATCCACTTGCCTCAGTCTTCCAAAGTGCTGGGATTATAGGCGTTAGCCACTGGGCCTGGCCAGAATTTTTTTTAAAAAAAGAGCTAAAATTATTTTTTATTTTTTGTAGAGAGAGGGTCTTGCTGTGTTACCAAAGCTGGTCTCAAACTCCTGGGCTCAAGTAAGTCCTCCCACCTTGGCCTCCCAAAGTGCTAGGATTATAGTTGTGAGCCACCATGCCCCACCACATACACGAATTTTTAAGAAGTGCGAATTCAGCTCTGGTCTTGGAAAATTCTGGCAGCTGGCAAGGAGGAATAATTGAGAAGTGGGAGGATTGGAGAAGGTGGAGATGCCAGGATAGCACAGAGACTGTAGGCAGAGAGGGAAGGGAATGTGGGATTAACGGAGGTGGACTGACAGGACTTGGGGACTGGTTTGGGGGTGGTGAGTGGGAGACAAGAATGGTTCCTAGCTTTCAGGCTTAGGCAAGTGGCTGCAGGGTAGGGGCAGCTTGGCAGGGACAGTCACTGAGATGAAGAGCGCTGGAGAAGCAGCCATGACAGCGGGGCCCAGGGGAAGAGGAGGGGGTGGGATGGAGGGCTCACCTTCCACAGAGACTTCTCGGCAGCGGGCCAAGTCTGCCTTGTTGCCCACGAGGATGATGGGCACATGGTCTGCCTGATGTGTGCGCCGCAGCTGGATGCGGAGCTCAGAGGCACTCTCAAAGCTGCCTCGGTCTGCGATGGAGTATACGATGACATAGGCACTGCCCCCCTGCAGGCATGACTCCTGGCTCCATCTTTTATCCTGCAGGAGAGGGACCCAAGGCCCATCCTCAGAGGGTATCTAGGCCCTGGCTGAGGAAGGTAGAGCTGGGATGGTCTAATGGTTGGGATGGGGCTGAGGTTTATAGTTTGGACAGGTGTGGGGGACAAATTCTGCCGTAATTCCCTGTGTCACCTTAGGAAAATCGGTGATCCTTTCTGAGTCTCAGTTTCTCTGCTTGAAAATTTAGGCTAATGACACTACCTCACATAATTCTCTCACTCACTGACACTTTTGCAGGCTGGGTACTGGAGGCAAATTGACTTGGTTCCTCTTCCTGCTAAAGAGGGTTCTGCCTTGACCTGTTTAGCTCTTTTGTCTTGTTTCTGAGGAGGGTTTAGCCTTGCCAGAGGGTGCTTTATGCCTGGTGAAATCCAGAATGAAGAGAAAAAAGGAAGAGAGAGAGAAGTGAGGACAGGAGGCTGACTTCAGAGGGAAGGCATTTTTCAGGACAGTTTTGAAGACAGAGGTGAAGGAGCAACTGTAAAGTGTAAGTTCACAAGGGGATGAGAGGGGCAAGGGACACTTTAAGAAGTGGCTTCCTTTCAAGTTGTTTGACCAAGAAAAAGAAAGAACTGCAGTGCTTTTGATATTTCGGATGGTGATCTTTTGTTAGGGACAGCCCTTCAAGACTGGACTACTTGGGTAGTAACTTTATAAGTATTGAATAAGACACAGTTTCTGCCCTCCAAAAGCTCATGGTCTGGAAGAGAGCTTATGGAAATGGGGAGTTATAGTGTAGTGTGAAAGTAACAGTAAGAGGCATGTGCAAGTGGCTGGAGGAGTGGTGTGGGGAGGCCAGAACAACCCCACCTGGAAGAGTGTGCAAGGGCTTCACAGGGGACTGGCGAATGGGGTTAGGAAGGAGGGGCAGGCCAAGCAGGAGAGAAGAGATTCCAGACAAAAGGAACAGTCAGAGCTAAGGCCTGAAGTGAGAAAGACTGAGTGTGGTTGTGAGGTAGTGAAGAAGCCAGAAATTTTCTTTCATTTTTCTTTTTTTTGAGATGGAGTCCCACTCTGTCTCCCAGGCTGGAGTGCAGTGACATGATCTCGGCTCACTGCAACCTCCACCTCCTGGGTTCAAGTGATTCTCCTGGCTGGGCTTCCTGAGTAGCTGGGATGACAGGCGCCTGCCACCATGCCTGGCTAATTTTTGTGTTTTTGGTAGAGACCTTGAGAAAATTTTCTCCTCTTTTCTGGCCTTTTATTTTCCAACCAGTAAAATTAGGAAACTGAACCAGTTTCCCTGGTCAGTGACTGTGAAGAGAGGTCTCAAAGAGGGTCCAAGCAGTAGCAGCATTATCGAAATAAGTATCCATCCTTTCCATTTGTGCACTACATGGTACTCTGATATCAGAGAGGCTGAATCTGACAGAATTGGGTGGGCCTTAGGACCTTAGTGTACCAGGCTGGCTGACCATCAGGCCACTTGGAGTGTATTAAAAATCAAATTATCGGCTGGGGGCGGTGGCTCATGCCTGTAATCCCAGCACTCTGGGAGGCCGAAGCGGGGGGATCACCTGAGGGAGGGAGTTTGAGACCAGCCTGACCAACATGGAGAAACCCCATCTCTACTAAAAATATAAAATTAGCCAGGTGTGGTGGTTCATGCCTGTAATCCCAGCTGCTCGGGAGGCTGAGGCAGGAGAATCACTTGAAACTGGGAGGCAGGGGTTGGGGTGAGCAGAGATCATGCCACTGCACTCCAGCCTAGGCAACAAGAGCAAGACTCTGTCTCAAAAAATAAATAAATAAATAAATAAAAATCAAATTATCAGGTCTCACCCTGGCCCTCATCCTCAGCCTGGGCAACAGAGCGAGACTCCCTCTCAAAAAAGATACATAGATAGATAGATAGATAGATAGATAGATAGATAGATACTAGAGCCCCAATTTTAGAGCTTCTTATTCTTTTTTTTCTTTTTCTTTTTCTTTTTCTTCTTTTCTTTGAGATGGAGTCTCACCCTGTCACCTAGGCTGGAGTGCAGTGTCATGATCTCGGCTCACTGCAACCTCCACCACCCAGGTTCAAGCTATTCTTCTGCCTCAGCCTCCGGAGTAGCTGAGACTATAGGTGCCCGCCACCATACCCAGCTATTTTTGTATTTTTAGTAGAGACGGTTTCACCACCTTAGCCAGGCTGGTCTTGAACTCCTGACCTCAGGTGATCTGCCCACCTCAGCCTCCCAAAGTGTTGGGATTACAAGCGTGAGCCACCGTGCCCAGCTGAGAATCTATATTTTTAATCACACTCCGAATGAGTTCATACTCACAAATCCATGCACCAACTGACTTTTGTGATCTTGACACACAGCAAATCCTCCAAAAATATTTGTGCAATGAATGAATGAATGGTCAAGACTCACTTTCTCATTCTAGAGATGGGGAAAACTAAGACCCAGAGGAAGAAACCCGTCCATACTCAAGGTTGAGAACCCACATCTGTCTGACTCAAGCTGGGTGTGGGGTTCCAGTTCCTGCCTTCTAGTCTAGAATCCTTTCTCCCCTGTTTCCTGGGTGGGACTCCCAGTCTGATCACCCATCTTAACTCGCTGGACACTGCCCCATAGTATCCTCAGCTGCATCTGAAAAGTAGACCCTCTCACTAGCCTGTGAGGTCCACGAGGCCAGGGGGCATGTCTGCCTTATTCATCTCTGTGTCTCCAAGGTCCTGGTCCATGATAGACACCCAGCAAGTATTTCTGAATGAATGAATGAGCGAATAACTGAAACCTCAGCTGAAGGTTCAGAAGGTGATGCTCTTGAAGGGGAGGAACGTCATAAGACAAGGACTCTTATGCAGTCCTAATGCATAAGAATACAGCCTTGGCCGGCCATGGTGGCTCACGCCTGTAATCCCAGCACTTTGGGAGGCCGAGGTGGGTGGATCACCTGAGGTCAGGAGTTCAAGACCATTCTGACCAACGTGATGAAACCCTGTCTCTACTAAAAATACAAAAATTAGCGGGCATGGTGATAGGCACCTGTAATTCTAACTACTCGGGAGGCTGAAACAGGAGAAACACTTGAACCTGGGAAGCGGAGGTTGCAGTGAGCTGAGATGGCGCCACTGCACTCCAGCCTGGGCAACAAGAGTGAAACTCCGTCTAAAAAAAAAAGAATAAGATCTACAAAGATTTTGTAGATCTGGGTTTGAATCTCACTTGCTATTTGAGAGCTTTGGACACATTATTATTATTATTTAACCGCTCTGGTCTTTGGTTTCCTCATCAGTAGAATGGGAATCAGAAGACTCACCATTTATTTTTTGAGACAGAACCTTGCTCTGTCGTCCAGGCTGGAGTGCAGTGGCGTGATCTCAGCTCACTGCAATCTCCACCTCCCGGGTTCAAGTGATTCTCCTGCCTCAGCCTCCCAAGTAGCTGGGACTACAGGCCCATGCCACCACACCTGGCTAATTTTTGTATTTTTAGTAGAGGTGGGGTTTTGCCATGTTGGCCAGGCTGGTCTCAAATTACTAACCTCAGGTGATTCACCTGTCTCTGCCTCCCAAAGTGCTGGGATTACAGTCCTGAGCCACTGCACCAGGCCCAGTTTTTGTTTTGATTGAATTCATAGAATATGTCTAGTGGTTAACACAGGGGCTGACACTTTGGAAGCTGGCACTCCATAAATGTCAGGTACTGTTATAAGAGTCATCATCATTATTATGCTCATTTGGCCCCGGGTTTCCTTTTATGCTTGTTAGAAGGAGAGCTGTCAACCATTGTCAATCACCCACCAGTGTCCTCCTAAGCCCCACCCTGAGGGCAGGGCCTCCCTCAGTTTTAGGGGAGCAGCCTATCCCTTAGAGAGATGGGATCCCAGGTGATTTTAGATCCTTCTCTTTGCTTTGATGTTTTTCCTCAAAGTTCTACAACTTTCCTCAAAGTTCTACAATGAAATTATGTATTACCCACGTAGCAAAAGAAAAGAAAACACAAACAAGATAAAATCATAATAGGGACATGTTCCTGCCTACTGCTCTCTTCCTGTTCTGGTTTCCTTTTTCTCTACCTACCAAGTCATAATTACTAAGAGTTATCATTTACAATTCTTCACCCCTATTCAGCAGTTTTTCATGCTTTAAACTGGGCTTACCTCTGAAATTGCATAAGAACTTTAAAAAACCAGCTGATGAGGAAAGCAGGAATGGTTAACCCATTTATCAGATGAGAAAACTGAAGCTTGGAGTGGTTAAGTCAATTGCACAAAACTACATAACTAGTAAGAAAAAGAAAGGGGGTTCAGCCTTAGGCATTTTGGGGCCAAATCCAGCGTTCCTTCTGCACAATGTGGGTGGGAGGGGTGGGACGAGGATGGAAATAATGATGGGGAGATCTGCAGGTGGAGAAGCACATTCTGAGATGGCTGGTAGGAGGGGATTGTGGAGTGAGAAAAGGGGTCAGGGTCATAAGGGTCTTCTGTTTGGGATTGGAAAGACTGCTTAGGAGCTGTGGGTTTTGGGGGAGGGTGCTGAGGATGGCTCTTGCTCACACCTGATCTGTAGTGTCCCAGGATGGGACAGGAAAGAGTCTAATATTAGGCTCAGCACCCCTCTCCCCAAATTCTGCTTGCAGTGCCATACCAGTTTCTCGGCCTCCCAGGTGTCCACGACCACCAGCGTGGTGTCTTCTCCATCCACCGTGAGGGTCCTCTCATATACATCTTCTGCAACCGAGGGAAGAGCTGGATCTCAGGGAGGAGGGGCAAGCCTGAGAGAGTGTGGTGTTTGCTACCCCCCATTTCTGGTCACATCACCCCCTCCACTTGTCCTCAGAAGCGCTTATCACACTTGTTTGATGCCTGTCTCTCCTGGTAGGAACCCATGTCTCCCCAGGTGCCATAGTACCTGGCGCATAGTAAGTGCCAGAAAGATTTGATTGATTGAATGAAGGTGGGGTGGTGGGGTTAAAGCTGGGCTAGGAATTCTCCCAGGCCTGCTCTGTCTGACTTAGCGCGTGCTTCAGGCAGGTCATGTTATCCTCTCTTGACCTCAGTCTCCCTATCTGTAACACATACGGGTTCTCACTCTTGAGGCTGGGGGAGAGAAGTCAAGACTAGAGAAGGGTCTGGCTAGATGTCCCTACCTTTTCTCTGCATTTAATCAACCCCCTTCCCCCACTCACCCTATGTCCTTTTGGTCAGTCGTTCAGGGGCCTACCTTCATCTCTTCTATCTTCCCTGTATCGCACCACCCCGGGGCCCCTGACACTCTTAGCTCACCGCAGTTCTTGGGAATAAAGCACCCCAGGGCCCAGAACTTGGGGTCTAGGAGTCTCCCTTCTGCAAAGGATCTTAGTTTTGCTGTAGATCATGGTGACCATGGATGGGTGTCTATGGGACTGGGAGAATCTGAGAGTCAGAGGAGTTGGGGAGGGGAGTTTCTGAACTGGGTGGAAGTCTACCATTTCTTCATTCAGAAGAATTCAGAATTGCCACCCATATGACATGGAAATGAATCATATACTTCTTGTTCATGGGAAGTTGGCAAAATTCTTGTTCTATTCAAGAATTTCCCTCCCTTTGACCAGTGTGCAGGCTGTGCCATGTACAACTTTGGAGGGCAAGGGGGCATCATTCATGTCATAGTCTAAGTGAATGATGCCCCTTAGAGTTGAACAGTGCATGACTTGTACAACTGTTCTTGGCAGCCCTGTGCCCCTGGTGACAGGGCTTTCGCTCCTTTGGCCACATCCCAGCCCAGCCCATATGGCCCCTACCTCCCAGCTGTTCATGGAGGTCCCTCTCTTGCTTCCCTGCAAAGAGGCTGGCCAGGCTGGTCTTCCCCACTCCAGGATCTCCAAGTAGCACCACACGGTAGAGGGCCTCCCAGGAGCCTTCAGAGTCGCTGGATTCAGAAGACCAGTCATCTGGGGCAGGTGAAGGTTTCTGGGTGGGAGGGTTGAGGGAGGCCGATTGACCCAGCCGGGGATGCTGGGATTGAGTGGAAGGCGCTGTGCTCAGGAGGCCAGGCTGGCGGCCCCGTGGGGACAGGGGCAGTGGGGTGCTGGCTCGCCGGTGCAGAGGGGTCTTTGCTTCCTGTCCGGTGTTGAGTGTCATCTTTGGTAGAGGGGGTTTTGCTTCTTCCTTCCTTCCTTCTGAAAGAAGGGGGAATTGGTTGTCAGTCAATTGCTTTAGGCTGCTTCTTTCTATAGCGTCCTGATGAGCTGCTGAGATGGCTTCTTCCAGATCCCCCTCTTGTTCAGATGGGAGTAGGAGGTGCCTCAGCTTCTTGGGGCAGAAAGCCCCTAGGCTTTCTGGCCTCAGGCTCTGCGTAAACCTGGATGCGGCTGGAAGGAGTGAGTGTGCAGGCTGTGAACACCCAGGCACACACACCCAGAGGCCATTCCCTCGCCTTAAGGATGATGACAGACAGGCAGGCAGAGGGGCAGTAGTGAGGTGGGATGTCCTCACATGCACACTCCCCATTCCGTGCACACGGACCTGCCCTTCCCACAGAACATGAGGCCCTGGCTCTGAAAGGCATCCAAATTGTCCCCCTCCTCCCCTTCCCCACCGCTCTCTTTCACAGGTTCTGGGTTGGGAGTGCAGTTTCAGGTCCCCCCCACTGCAAGGGTAGGGGTTACTTAACTTTGGATGCCCAATTTCACGGGGTCTGAGGAGGAAGAGGCAGGAGGGTGGGTTGGAACTACAGAAGGGCGAGGGGGGTATAGGGGTAACCCGACTGTAACCCGAGTGCCCTGGTGCCATGGGAACCGCGTGTCTGACCCGCCCCCTGTGTGAAATATTCAGGAGCGGCTGACGCTACGGCCTCTAACTGCTTTTGGGGACGGGAGCTGCGGCCGGCCAGGCCCCAGGTTAGGTGACAGGACAGGGTCCTGGCAGGGGACGGGGAGGGCAGACCACAGGGCCCGGGAACGCTGTGCCATTCCTGGAGTCTGGGTCCGAGCTTTCCCAGCCGGCATCCTGGGTGTGAATCCCCCATCCTGGGGTTGAAGGGGTCTTTGTCCAGGACTATCCAGCCCTCTGGGTCGCAGGTCTGAAGACCCTCACCCTCGGGACGCGGTTTCAAAGCCCTCCTACTCCTGCCAACGCTGCCGAATCCCCCTTCAATCGCCTGGAGAACTCTGCTCCAACTTGAGCGAGTTGGCCGCGCGTAGCGCAGGGCTTTACCTCGGCGTGGGAGGGGTCCAGGGTCCCTCGCAGCTCCAGCGGCTGGATGCTCCAGGCTGTACCACCCGCCTCCGCACGCAGCCCCTCAGGCCAATTCCCCTCCCCTCGCCGCCTGGGCCGGGGGAGGAGCCGCGACCCCGCCCCATCCAGCCCCGCCCCATTAGGGCAGCCCCGGGGTCCCCGCCCTAAGGCCCTGGCCGCTCAGTGACTTTTCTGAAAGTGCAGAGCTCAGCTGACCCGCATTTCTGCCAGCCCTATGCACCGAGTGAGGGTGGCAGACGAGAGAGGAAGGATGGGGGCTCTGGATTCCTGGGTCTGGAGCTCCATCTGCGTAGGGGATGCACCAACACATTAGCCCCCAGAAAAACCACTTGGGGAACTTGCTAAATATTCAGGTCCCACCTTCCAAGAGAGGCAGATTCCACAGTGCTGGGAGAGGGGTTCAGGAATCTGCGTTTTAAACAAGCGCCCCAAGTGATCCTGATGCAGACGGTTCATGGACCTCACTTTAAGAAACTGCTCTGGATGAAGAATTAATTTTGGGAGGTGGCTTGGGGGAAGAGAGAGCTCAGAAAGTCTGCACTGAAGAATTCTGAAAATCTTATTTTGGCATCATTCATTCATTCATTCACTCACTCACCAACTGAGGCTTAGCTGGGCCTGGGCCTGAGGTCTCTGCCATTCTGTCTACTGTTTCTATCACTCATGGCTTAAAAATAAATGCTCCCAGGTATAGAGGAGGAGGAAAGAGATCACTGGTGATGTTGGCTATCCAAGGGGCCAGGATCCAGACTCTTTGACTGGGGTGCCTCCCTTTAGGTCTTGAGAAATTGGGGTGTGTACATGTGTGGAGCCATGGAGGCCAGGCTGCACCTGTGGGTGGGGCTCATTGTCATGGCTGAGGGGATTCAGGTGTACAGCTTGGAATAACTCCCACAGCAGCTGAACAGACTGGCTCAGCCCCCACAGGTCTTGGAGCTGATGCAGAACCCCCTCGTGCCTGGCTTCTTTCCGTGGCGTGGCCCTCTAAGCTTACCTTTCTAACTTGCAAGATGGGCCGTGAGTGGTGCGGCACCCTTCATTGTCTGGGAGTGAGGTGACTTGGCTTTTAGTTCCATCTCTGCAGCACAATTGCTGTGTGACCTTAGGCAAGTCAACTCCCCTCTTTGGGTTTCAGTTCCTTTATTTAAAACTATAATCTGAACAGTTTACACTCTTGCTAAAAAACTTTTGGTTGTCTATAATACAAAAGTCTGAACTTGGCATTCAAGCCCCATCATATTCTCTGCAGAATCATTTCAACCTCTCCTCCCAGGAAAACCCTTGCTTGGCTCATGCCCCACTCTTTTAGGCACATTCTGTTCTTTCTGCCTGGGATACCTTTTCCCCTACTCATCTTTCATGATGCAATTTAGATTCCTGTGTACCAGACACTGTTCTAAGCTCTGCACGAATATTATCTCAGGGGTTCTCAAACTTTAGTGGTGTGTTAGAACCACCTGGAGGGCTTGTTAAGCCACATTTTGCCAGGACCCACCAATACTCTCATCTGTGACTAGTGATCTAACAAATGACCAGAGAGCTAACTTGTGACCAGTGTTAGTGAATCTGTGGGCTAACTTGTGACCAGTGATCTAACCTGTGACCCATGGGCTGCTCCATGACCTGTGGTCTTCCTCTGCTTAGAGAGAGGTGAATTCAGTAGGTTCGGGGTAGGGCTAAAGAACTGGCATTTCTAACAAGTCCCACGTGTTGCTGCTGCTTGCTGGTCTGGGAACCACACTATAGGAGCCACTGTATTACTTCATTTAATCCCCTAAATGAGATAGGTAGCTATTACTGTCTATGACATGGGTACTATTACTCTTCCCATTTTAGAGTAGGCCTGCATACATGCTGGTCACTTGGCCTTGTAAGGGATACTAGTCATCATTTCATAGACAACAGCCTGAGGCTCAGAGAGGTTAAGTGACTTGTCTGATGTCTCACAGCAGTTAGGGGGAGATGTGGGGATTGAACTAGGTCTCTCTTAAGTCAAAGTTTTTTCCACTGTCTTAGGTGGGGAAGATGTCTAGTTTCTGACCCTAGACAATGCCTCAGGAAATTCTACCCCCAGCTTCCGAGCTCAACAGGCTCCGGAGGGTGTGGCTGACCAGTTCCCACGTAGCTGGCTGAGATCCCAAGCAGCCTGGGGACTACATGGCCTCATACTCCCACTTAGGCCTGCTGCCCACAGCACTGCCTTTATCCGCAGCTCAATAAAGGCTGGACTGGAAGCAGCGAGGCTCAGCATGCTCGGATCTCTCTTGTGTTCTCTCCAGCAGCCTCCCCAGGAGCCCCATGGCCATGACACAGCTGCTTCTGCTCCTTGTGGCTCTCCTGGTTCTGGGTCATGTGCCACCAGGTAGCAACATCGTGTGCATGTGTGTGTGTCTGCACGTGTGTGCGTGTAAAAATGAGGACTAGACTCTTAGGTCCTGGAGGACTGAGGGGCCTCTACCAGCATTTAAGTTCTGGCCCCACCACTGACTTGGTGGGCAACTTAGAGCAAGTTGCTAAATCAGCCTGCACCTCAGTTTCCTAATCTATAAAATGGGATTCTCTCAATAAATATTCATTTATGTTATGATTGTTGTGAAATCATAACAGTGAAAGACATCTAGCAGTGAAAGAAAAGAAGGTCCTTGCTTTCATGCAGCTGATATTTTAGTTGGTAGAGATAGAAAATAAGCGGATAAACATGTTGGGTGGTGATAAGTGCTAAGAAGAGGAAAGGCAAGGGAAGGGGTTAGAGTGGTGTGTGCATGGAGAAGGGCGGGGATGGGAAGACTGATGAGGATGGATAGGGAAGGTCTCTAATAAGATTTGTTTCTTTTTCTTTTTTCGAGACGGAGTTTCATTCTTGTTGCCCAGGCTAGAGTGCAATGGCATGATCAGCTGACTGCAACCTCTGCCTCCTGGGTTCAAGCGATTCTCCTGCCTCAGCCTCCTGAGTAGCTGGGACTATAGGCATGTGCCACCATGCCTGGCTAATTTTTGTATTTTTAGTAGAGACGGGGTTTCACCATATTGGTCAGGCTGGTCTAGATCTCCTGACCTCAGGTGATCCACCCGCCTCGGCCTCCCAAAGTGCTAGGATTACAGACATAAGCCACCATGCCCGGCCTAGATTTTTTTCTTTTTAAAAACTTTTTATTTTGGAAGATTTCACATATACATGAAAGTAGAGAGAATAACAAGGTGAGTTTGAAACATTTTTATTATGGGAAAATTTAAACTTATGCAGAAATAGAGAATACTGTAACAGCATGAGTTTTTAAAAGAGACTTCTTTATTTGACTTTTAAATTTGTGTAGAGATAGAGTCTCACTATGTTGCCCAGGCTGGTCTCAAACTCTTGGCCTCAAGCAATCCTCCAGCTTTGGCCTCCCAAAGTTCTGGGATTACAGGTATGAGCCCAGCCAGAAACTTTGGTATTTAGGAAAATTTCAACCAGAAATAAGAAATAAATAGTATAAAGAACCCCTATTACCCATCACCCAACCTCAACAATTACCAATTTGAACCAATCCTGTTTTGTTATTCACTTCCCCCTCCTCTCCTGTGAATTATTTTGAAGTACATTCCAGCGATCATATTTTATATAAAGTGGGTTTGAACCGAGGTCTTTTTTCTTTTTTTTTTTTTTGAAACGGAGTCTCGCTCCTTGCCCAGGCTGGAGTGCAGTGATGCCATCTCGGCTCACTGCAAGCTCCGCCTCCCAGGTTCATGCCGTTCTCCTGCCTCAGCCTCCTGAGTAGCTGGGACTACAGGCGCCCGCTACCATGCCCGGCTAATTTTTTTTGTATTTTTATAAAGACAGGGTTTCACCATATTAGCCAGGATGGTCTCGATCTCCTGACCTCGTGATCCGCATGCCTCGGCCTCCCAAAGTGCTGGGATTACAGGTGTGAGCCACCGCGCCCGGCCTGAAAGGAGGTCTTAATAAGGTGAAAATACGAGAGAAGATCATTCCAGGCAGAGGGAGCAGCAAGGGCCGAGGCTCTGAGGCAGGGTAATGGATGCGTTTGAACAGCAGCAAGGAGGCTGGTGTGGCTTGGGGAGGGAGCATAAAGGAAATTGGTGGGAGACAGAGTCAAAGACATGAGGAATAGAGTGCAGATCATGCAGGAGAAAGGAACTGCTTCTGGATATAGGGGTGACTGGGAAGTTCAAACGCGATGGTGTGTTAAGAGTATTTCTTGGCTGGGTGTGGTGGTTCATACTTGTAAATCCTAGCACTTTGGGAGGTCAAGGCGGGAGGATCACTTGAGCCCAGGACTTGGAGACCAGCCTGGGCAACATAGGGAGACCCCATCTCTACAAAAAATAAAAGGATTAGTTGGGTGTAGTGGTGTGCACCTGTAGTCCTAGTTATTTAGGAGGCTGAGGTAGAAGGATTGCTTGAGCCTAGGAAGTAGAGGCTACAGTGAGCCAAGATTTGCACTACTGCACTCCAGCCTGGGCAACAGAGTGAGACCCTGTCTCAAAAAAAAAAAAATTATTATAGAAAGTGTCCTCACCTGGGAGCTAATGTCTCGGGTTCTGGTTCCAGACCCACCACTTAGTGGCTATGGGAGCTTGGGCAAGTTCATTCCTCTCTTTACTGGTAAGTGAGAGGATTTACCTAGAATGGGTCCTGGTTGTTCCAGCAATCTAAGCTATCATACTGATAATCTTGCCTCCTATTTATTGAGCATTTACTATATGCCAGGCACTGTGCTAACGTGATCCTTATCTGTGCTCTGAAGGAGAGTTGTACAGATGAAGAACTGAGGCCAAGGTCACTCAATGGGAAATGACTGAGCTGGGATTTAGACCCAGGAGGTCTGAGCTGGGTTCACACCACACTGTTAGCGATTATACTACACACTGTCTTCAGAGGGTGTATTCTTTGCCTCACGGAAATTTTGAGGCCAGTACCGTATCATTCTAAGATTCTCTACCTTAGCAAGAGAGAAGTGTGGACTGCTCGGCAGGCTGAATAAAACCTGCGGATATGCCCAAGGCATCATTTGAGGATTACATGGGATGTATTTTAATCCACAGAGATTCAGGGAAGCCTTTCCCCTCCACCTCCCTTCAGTGCTAGTTCTTCTGGGCTGCTTGCTCTCTGCTTGTCTGAGGTTGTATGTCTGGAAATGTCATTTAACAGTCAAGCTTGTCTACATGGTCCTAGTCTCCCCTCACTTCCCACATCGGTTTTAACTGACCATCACAGTACCCTCATCATTTCCAATGTGGCAGTTACCACAGAATCTATTTCTTGTATTTATTTGCTTGTTTTTTTTGAGGGCAGGGACCATGACCATATTGTTCATTGTAGTACTTCTAGTGCTCCGTCTTTATTGAGTGAATAAATGAAGGACAGGCTCCATCCTATGTTGTGACCAAAGACCCTTGGAGGGAGCAAAGGACCTATTCCCCAAAGCCTTACCTTTTCCATGGCCCATGGTTGGAAATTCCTTCACTAAAACCTAACATTAAACAAGTCCCTATGTGTCAGGGGCAGTTTGTGTAATGGGTGTGGACTCTGGAGCCGGATTGCTTGGGTTTGAGTCCTAGTTCTGCTCCTGAATGGCGGTATGACCTTGGATAAGGTTATATTTTATATTTAATTTTTCTTTTTTTTTGAGATGGAGTCTTACTTTGTTGCCAAGGCTGCAGTGAGCCGAGCTGCACTGGGTTCAAGCGATTCTCCTGCCTCAGTCCCCCAAGTGGCTGGGATTACAGGCACCTGCCACCATGCCTAGCTAATTTTTATATTTCTAGTAGAGATGGGGTTTCGCTATGTTGGCCTGGCTGGTCTTGAACTCGTGACCTCAGGTGATCCACCCGCCTCAGCCTCCCAAAGTGCTGGGATTACAGGTGTGAGCCACTGTGCCCAGCTAGAGAAGATTATTAACCTCACTGAGCCTCAGTTTCCTTACCTGTATAGTAGGAATTGTAATAAGACTATAATTGTATAGTGTTATGAAAAGTGCTTATGTGTACTTGGTGTGTTGTTTCACCCGGTCAAGAAATTAGTCTCTATTTATTTATTTGAGATGGAGTCTCCCTCTGTCACCCAGGCTGGAGTGCAGTGGCACAATCATGGCTCATTGCAATCTCCTCCTCCTGGGTTCAAGCGATTATCCTGCCTCAGTCTCCTGTGTAGCTGGGACTAAAGGCACGTGACAACACACCCGGCTAATTTTTGTATTTTTGGTAGAGAAGTTTTGCCATGTTGGCCAGGCTGTTCTCAAACTCCTGACCTCAGGTGATCTGCCTGCCTCAGCCTCCCAAAGTGCTGGGATTACAGGTGTAAGCCACCGTGCCTGGCTTTAGTCTGCAATTTGTAACTAATGGTCTAACCTATGACATGTGGTCTAACCTAAATTGTAATCAGTACTCTCATCTATGACTAGTGATCTAACAAACGACCAGAGAGCTAACTTGTGACCAGTGTTAGTGAATCTGTGGCCTAACTTGTGACCAGTGGTCTAACCTGTGACCCTTGGGCTGCTCTGTGACCTATGGTCTTCCTCTGCTTAGGGAGAAGTGAATTCAAACGGTGCTGGAAGGGCCAAGGGGCCTGCCGAACTTACTGCACAAGGCAAGAAACTTACATGCACCTGTGCCCGGATGCGTCCCTGTGCTGTCTCTCCTATGCATTGAAACCTCCGCCGGTCCCCAAGAGTAAATATGAGTAGCTGGTTCTTGCTGTCCAATAAAACACGGGCCGCCAGTTGTCTCTTCTTTCTGTTTGCTCGCCTGTGCTCCTCTCCCCCCTGGGGTGGGGGATAGGCCTAGGATGTGGGAGAAATGGTCTGTGGAAGGAAGTGAGGGACCTGAGGAGAGTGGGCGCTAATGACCATTGTAAATGGTTCCGGTCCTGGCCACTTCACTTTCTCTCTGTCCAACTCCGGAAAAGTTACTGAACCTCTGAAAGTCTCCTCAACCATAAAATGGGAATAATTATAATATCAGGAGATTAGCACTTTATAAAAGAAATGCAAGAAGAAAGGTAGAGTTAATAATAACAAGAGTTAATAATATAGTTGATAATAACGGTGAATAATAGTAGAGTCAAAAATAAGCTTCTGGAATTCAGAATGAGATGGCACATTTGGCTTGAGAGGCAGGCCCCACTGAGAGTGAAAGGGTTTTCCTATGTTCCTTGATAGGGTATCCTAACGACTTAGGGATGAAGCCAAATCAACAGACTAGACACTTTTCTGAAAATTAAACCGCCATTTTCACACACAAACCGCCATTTTCCTCCCAGTGTTCAAATAGACCCTCATCTAAGCATATATCCAACTTCCTAAATCATTAGGATACACCCAAAAAGCCAAAGAGACCAGCCAATTCTAGGGTGGAAGATTCCCCAAAATACCTCACAGATCAGGCCCACAAGCCCAGAGAGGAAAAGTGACTTGTCGAAGGCCGTACAGTTCCCGAGTGATGTGTCAAGGAATGGAGCCACACCCCGGTAGGACAGGACAGTGTGATGGGGAAATTTTGGGAGGAAGGGAGTCCCTTGACACTGGAGATGTGCAAGGTGAGCCTGGTGGCTCTGGGATGCTAGAGAAGGAAGTTACCTGGATAGGTGCTCAGAAGTGTTTTTCTGGAGGACAGGTTCTACTCAAGCCAAACCAATCATTGAATGGTTGAGATGATGATATGTAAGTATCCTTTAGAAAGTGCCAATTGCTTTATTCATATCACCTCAGTTATATATTATGCCCGCCCGCCTTCCTTCCCTCCTTCCTTCCTTCCTTCCTTCCTTCCTTCCTTCCTTCCTTCCTTCCTTCCTTCCTTCCTCTCTTTCTCTCTCTCTCTCATTTCTTTTTTAACACAGGTCCTCACTCTGTTGCCCAGGCTGGAATACAGTGGAGATCACATAGCTCACTGCAGCCTCACACTTCTGGGCTCAAGCAATCTGCCTCAGCCTCCAAGGAGCTAGGACTATAAGTGTATGCCGCCATACCTGGCTAATGTGTTTTTGGTTTGTTTGTTTTGTAGAGATGGAGTCTTGCTAAAAACAAAAACAAAAACAAAACACCGAAAACAAAAAACAACAAAAAAACATGGGGTCTTTCTATGTTTCCCAGGCTGGTCTTGAACTTCTGGGCTCAAGTGATCCTCCTGCCTTGGCCTCCCAAAGTGCTGGGATCACAGGTGTGAGCCGCCGCAGCCAGCCTATCTTTGCCTTTTCTATAAGGTAACTAAGACTCTATAAGGCAACTAAGAAAGTTGCCCAGGTCATACACCTAGGAAGTGGTGGAGATGGAACTCTACCCTGATCCTCTGTCACCTGATTTTGTTTCCCAGAGTCAGTCTTTTTTTGGAGACAGTCTTGCTCTGTTGCCCAGGCTGGAATGCAGTGGTGCAATCATGGCTCACTGCAGCTTTGAACTCCCTGGCTCAAGGAGTCCTCCCACCTCAGCCTTTCCAGTAGCTGGGACAGTAGGCATGTACCACCATGCCTGGCTAATTTTTGTATTTTTTGTAGACACAAAGTCTTGCTATGTTGCCCAGGCTGGTCTTGAATTCCTGGCCTCAAGCAATCCTCCTGCCTCGGCCTCCCAAAGTGTTGGGATTACAGGCATGAGCCACTGTGCCAGACTCCAGAGTCATTCTTACTTGTACTTTAAAAATAATATTTTTTTTCTAATTGTAAAAATAATACATGTTCATTGGAAAACATGTAAACAGAGAAGCACAAATAAGAAAACTAAAATCATTAGTATTTTCACTGTACAGAAATACCCAGCAATAGGCCGGCTGTTGTGGCTCACTTCTATAATCCCAGCACTTTGGGAGGCCGAGGCAGGCAGATCACTTGAGGTCAGGAGTTCAAGACCAGCCTAGCCAACATGATGAAACCCTGCCTCTACTAAAAATACAAAAATTAGCTGGCATGGTGGCGCACGCCTATAATCCTAGCTACTCGGGAGGCTGAGGCAGGAGAATCACTTGAACCCATGAGATGGAGGTTGCAGTGAGCCAAGATCACACCACTGCACTCTAGCCTGGACAACAGAGCAAGACTCTGTCTCAAAAAAAAAAGAAAAGAAATACCCAGAAATAAAGAAAAATGTAAAATGTGACAAAAATAAAATGGAATCAAGCTGTAGATATTTTGTATCCTGGTTTTTTTCACTGATCAATATATCATAAAAATTTATGTATGTGCTTAGTCTTCCAAAACAATATTTTTAGCACTGAAATTCCTCCTGAAAAATTTTAAGTCACTTCTAGTTTTTATAACTTGAGTAGTACATTTAAAATAAGTATGGAGGCCAGGTGCGGTGGCTCACACCTGTAATCCCAGCACTTTAGGAGGCTGAGGCAGGTGGATCGTCTGAGGTCCGGAGTTCAAGACAAGCCTGGCTAACATGGTGAAACCCCGTCTCTACTAAAAACACAAAAAATAGCCGGGCATGGTGGTGTGCGCCTGTAATCCCAGCTACTCGGGAGGCTGAGGCAGGAGAATCGCTTGAACCTGGGAGGTGGAGGTTGCAGTGAGCTGAGATTGTGCCACTGCACTCCAGCCTGGGTGACAGAGTGAGACTCCATCTCAAAAAATAAAAAATAAAACAAAATAAAATAAATAGAATACAGTGTCAAAAACTAAGAAAGTATAGTATAGATAAGCCTCAAAATATTCACCTGTCTTTTATAATTCCTGTTAGTATTTTGGTGTATATATATATAAAAAATATGTAAATATATAAAAATATGTAAATATACATGCAAATACATACAAATATATGTAAATATATATGTAAATACATATAAATATATATGTAAATACATATAAATATATATGTAAATACATATACATATATATGTAAATATATAAAAATATATATATTTGAAGGCATTTTCACACACATCAGAGACTCTTCTACGAGAGGGACTTCTGCTGATCAGGTGGACACCTTTGGGGTCACAGGGAAGGAGAATAACAAGGAGGTTACAACAATGGATGGATACTGTAGGTAGTTCAGGGTAGACCTGGGTGTCTGACTTCTATCCCCACTCCCTTCTTTCAATGGCAGAGTGTTCAGTGGAATTGTTTATTATTCTGCTAGGGCTAGGTTTAAGTCTGAGAGCCAGGTGACAATCGCACATGACTTAAATTATCCTTGAAAACTGCTCAGGAAGGCACCTTTTTGGAGACAGACATACACAGCAAGTTTTCCTCCATTGATGGAACATATCACATTTCTCTGACCGTGCATTAAAGGAAGTGGTTGGTTATGTTTAGGCACCATTTTTTTTTGGTGAAAAATAAATATCTTTCCATAGTGGAATCACGCAGTGCAATGTGATGTCTTCACTGCCAGAAGCTTTCCCTGCACAGGAAATAATCCATTTCCCATCTCCCACTCACTCAGACACTGGCTCAAGGAGGGATTTTTCTGGCTTATTTGGACTGTTATTGTGCATATTTGCAAAACATATATCTGACAAAAGACTCATATCCACAATATATAAATAACTCTTACAAATAAATAAGGAAAGAGAAAAAACAACTCAATAACAGAATGGGCAAATATTTAAACGACATTTTACAAATGAAAATATGTAAGCGGCCAATAAGTTTGTGAAAAGATGTTCAATATCATTAGTATATCAGGAGAATGCCAAATAAAATCACAATGAGATACTACCATACACACTCACTAGAATAATTAAAGTGAAAAAGACTGACCATAGCAAGGTTGGTAAGGATATGGGGCAACTGGAATGCTGATACATTGCTGGTGGGACTGTAACATGGAGAACCACTCTGCAACTGGAAAAACAGGTGCATAATTACTTATAAAATTAAATAGACATATGTTGGCTGGGCAGGGTGGCTCATGCCTGTAATCCCAGCACTCTGGGGGCAGAGACGGGCAGATCACTTGAGGTTAGGCGTTTGAGACCAGCCTGGCCAACATGGCGAAACCCCGTCTCTACTAAAACAATACAAAAATTAGCTGGGCGTGGTGGCGCGTGCCTCTAATTCCAGCTACTTGGGAGGCCGAGGCTGGGAAATTTGCTTGAACCCGGGAGGCGGAGGTTGCAGTGAGTCAAGATGGCGCCAGTGCACTCTAGCCTGGGCGACAGAGTGAGACTCCGTTTCAAACAAACAGACAAACAAACAAACAAAATTAAATAGACATATATCTATACAAAGACTTCTCTATCCTTCCCTGTGACCCCAAAGGTGTTTGGGGTAGAGCTGTTTGTTGCAGCTTTATTTGTAATAACCCATAAATGGAAACAGCCCAAATGTTCAACAGGTAAATGGATAAGTTGAGTTATATCCATACAATAGGCTACTCAATAAACAGTGATAATTTACCAATACACACAACATAAATTAATTTCAAAAACACTATGTTAAGTGAAATAAGTCAGACACAAAGAAATACACGCTGAGTAATTCCATTTATATGATTTTTCAGACAGGCAAAACAAAGTTGATTTAAAAAGTAAGAAAAAAAAAGAAAAAACCCACCCCAAGTCTTATTTTCTTCAAATTTATCTTTTTTTCTGAGCACATGTAGTTGAGTCAGGGTAAACTATCTGTGCTTAGGATGCAGCTCCATTCGTGTCGTAAAGAGCTGGATGATCCAG